GTCGAAGGCTATGATTGGCGGATGAAAGGGGATTGAGGACTTATGTAGTAGTATGAGGTAGTTGTTTGAAGATTTGGTTGTCGAGCGACCGATAGTTGTTTCTTGGGGTGTGAATGTGATATAAGAGCAGATTTTAGGTCGTTAGATAACTGAGAGTTATTCTCTTGAGGTTGAGTCTGTTCGAGATGCGAGTACTGTAAGCATGAGTACTGTAGGGTATGTTAGTGATACCCTTTGCTTGACTTTTGTTTCGTAGAGTCGATGAGCTTTTGTGGCTTATAGAGGTAATTCTTGCGACTGAGTTAAAAGAGAAACACACCATCTTCGAATTGTTGTTCACATTATTTGGAATGTCGTCAGAATACTAGTGTGGGACTGAAATATGGAAGTTTCATTTAGATTTTGAACTAAATTTTGGAGTGGCGATTGTAATTCTTTTGGGAGTTATTCTTCCCCTTATATCAATAGGTTACTTTATCTTCTTTTGTGGAAATTGTTTCTTTTTCATCACGCGAAACCTTTTGCATTGGGAGTATCTTCTAGAAACTCATTATTGAGTAGAGGTTGTTTGTGATTAGTTAGTGGGAGTGTTAAATCCCAATATCTGTTTCATTTCGGTTTGTCTAAACTTTAATTCTTGAAGTGCCTAATTTCGGGGATAAAATTCCTAAAGTAGGGATAGTCGTATTCCTTGGACTAATTGGATTGCTCTTGACACTCTTATTATTGTACTTGGAGCCTCTTTGATTCATTTTAGAATATTGATTGAGGTGATATAATAATGGTAAAGTAGGATTGAACCAAAAATATTGATTCAGATAATTGTCCTATGAGCAGTCTACACTCTATTACCTTTTTCTCTTTCCACACTTTGAATCTGGATGTAAGGCTAGAACCATTGGGTGCTTCGATTTCAACACAAGAACGACCCAAAATGGAGTCTGGATGAGGGAGCTATGCCTGTTTGAAATTTGTGTACCTGTGTTGAAAGCGAGTTTGCTCGAGCAAACTTTTCACCGTTCAAGCGGTTTGCGTGAATTACAAAGATTATGGGAGCTTTCCTTCACCACTCAAGCCATGTTTTGACCGCTCAAGCGATTTGTTCGAAATCAGGCACTTTAAAGTCACTTTTTGGCCCAAACGTTTCATTCTTTCTTCTTCTCTTTTCTCCCACTCTTCCATGCCCAAAACCCTAGACCTCCAAACCTTGATTTCATCTATTTTTCACCAAGAATTCATCATAGATCTTGCATTAAAGGCGAAGAACAAGAGAAGATCAATGTTTTGACCAATTGTATTGCGATTTATTCGAGGTTTCTCTTTGGGTTTGCATCATCTTGTCTCCATTCTTGGGGTAGGGGTACTTTTAACTTGATATATTTATGATTTGGGATATATATGTGATATTTTCTTAGTTATAGTAATGTATGAGATGATTGTGTGATATGAAGTGGGTTTGATGAAGAAAAAGGGGTTTTACTCCATGTTTTGGAAAACTTTATGCATATCCTTCTTGATTATTGTTAGAAATGGTGAATATTGACTCTTTATATTTAAAGGAGGGAAAAGGCCCAATTTTTTCAAAAATCCTAGTTTTCAAATTTGATTTAATAATGGGTTTGGTCAAGTTGACTCTTAAATCTTGAAATTGGGTGAATGATTATGGAAATAATGTTGAAACATGAGATTATTGAATTTTCTTCGATATATGTATTAAAATAGATGAATATTGAGATTGTGACAAATTGTGGGATTGCAGAAACCCTTTATTGTCGATACTATTAAATGTTATTGTGAATTGAACAAACCTTAAGGAAATTGGATTTGAAAACACATGCGTGATGTGCATTATAATTTGCTTATGTGACTTTACAATCTTGTGGATGTTTGGAAAATATGAAGGGGATAAATAGCATATGAGTTTGGATAGTTGAGTCGGGTTTTGGTAATGGGTTGTGTGTTGTATTTGGTACTCGCGTAGGGAGTCAAGGTACCTAATTGCCCTGTCTTGTGCATACTGCCAGGCGAATGTGGGAAAGGTTTTTGGGTGTCCACAAACCTGCCGTTTATAAAGTTGGCGAATGCGAAAAACTTGATTTTGGGTGTCTACAAGCCCACCGTTTTAGGAGTCGATGAAAGTGGAGAGAGAAAAGTTTTGGGTTCCCATTGCACCTCCGTTTTTAAAGTCGGCAAACGTGATATTATTTTTTGTATATAAATGTATATATGTATTATGGTTTTGCGGCTCTTACTTGGGACATCATAGCGGATTTACCACCCCATGGTTGTAGATGAGACTTTGAACGAAAATCATGTATTGAACATTTTTGGTTTTAGAAAAAGAAAATATGGATTTGATCCTAACAAGTGCGTGGCATGATCTTATGCATCTCGATTATATATGTCATTTTAATAGTATTTCCTATTGGGCATTAGCCCACCCCAACTAATAACATTTCAAGTATTGATGGTGTGACTCTGCCCAAGTGACAAGGCGGTGAAGATTTTGAATGGATGTTAATTGTTGAAGCTCCAAAGCTAATGTGTGCACTACAGGAAAAAAGGGTTACGGTGGCGTTTTTTTAACGACGTTTTTTTAAACGTCACTGTTATTAACATTTAACGGCGTTTTATAAACACCGCATATTCTTTTTAACCAAAACGGCGCCGTTTTATAACAGGAGGCGTTGAAAAACGCCTCCGAATGCGGTGTACCGCACGCCCCTTCTCAACCCTTATTTTGTATCTGGCCCTCTCTCAACCCATACGCATACATCATTTTATCTGAGCCCCCTCTCTCTCTCTCTCTCTCTCAACCCTCTCTAAGCTCCATCGAAGTAATTTCGAAGCTCTAGATCGAACCGATTTCGAAGCTCCGTTGAAGATTCAGTGATTTCCAGCGAAGATTCAGATATTCGAAGCTCCATCGAAGCAATTTCGAAGCTCCATCGAAGCTCCAGATCCAACCAATTTCGAAGCTCTGTTGAAGATTCAGTGATTTCCAGCGAAGATTCAAATATTCGAAGCTCCATCGAAGCAATTTCGAAGCTCCATCGAAGCTCCAGATCCAACCGATTTCGAAGCTCCATCGAAGCTTACAGAGCGAGACCACTTCATCATTCTTGGCTGTGATGGCCTGTGGGGGGTATATCATCTGTCCACTATCTCTTTTGCCTTCATTTTAAAACTATTTTGTCAACACACTTTCCGAGTTCTATTATAAAGTTGATGTTGTTAACAACTGTCAGGTTTTTGGACCAAGTGATGCTATTCAATTCGTTCACAAGCTGCTTAAGGTCAGAATGCATCTTTAACTTCCCAACTTTTGCCCGTTTCATTAGGATTAATGTGGCGTTTATTCTTTTAATTGTAGTTGAATATGTATATTCTCTTCCTGGTTACATAACAGTGAATTTGTCCATTCTCCTCCTAATTGCATTTAAGTGAATATGCACATAAGTGTTGCCCCAACGGTATTCTAGAATAAGGGCCCTGGATGACTAAATTTTTTTTTATGCTTAGAATATCACTCTCCTTTTTTTTGTTAGTTAAAATTCAATGTAAATCAAATGGACTGATTCAATTACCAACCTGTTTATTATCTGAGTAGTACACTTGTTTCCTTTCATTCTGACCAAATGCTTTAATACCGTGAGTGATATCAGGCCCTGTTTGTTGCAGCTTCTTTGTGCTGAAAACTGATAATCAGAAAGTAGAAGTTAAAAGTATCCCTCCCACATACTTCTGAATAATCATATTTTTTTCAGCTTGTTGAAGCTATGTTTGTGTAGTATGCAAAAACTTTATCAAAACACTCTAAACAAAGTAACCTGCAGTGTTTGTTACAGGCTCCCAAATGGACTCGGGATACATATATATTATATTGCTCTGTAGGATTCTTAGACACCATTTAATGGCCAGGACATTTGACTTTCTGTCATGTCCTATAATTTATTGGCCTACTCATTAATCAAGGTGTTTCACATCCCCAAATTTCTTCTCACTTTCTATATTTCAATGTGATTTTATCATGGAAACTATCTTGATGATGCTATATTTGGTTACAGTATCCT